GCCAATTCAGTTTGGTTGTTCTGTCTTATGACTCTTCTAGTTTTCTCTTTGTTTATCATATGTGATTTTGTTTTGATTACTTGTTTAGTGGTTACCTTGAGGTTTGTATAAAAAATCTTCTGTGTGAGATAGTCCGTTATCTGATGGCCTCCTATTTCCTTATACTAAGTCAATTCAATCACTTTTGTCTTCCCCTTCTAAGTCATTCTTGTTATACCTTATTCTATCTTGTGTTGTGGGTGTGTGTTTACAGTGATGAGGTTAAATTTATTTTTGGTGAATTCCTTCCTTTGATCTTTGATTTTGGTATTTAAGTGGATGCTAACCTATTCCGGTAAAGATGTACTAGTTTTCTGAGTTTGTCTACCTATTTTTCTCCTTGCTCCAAGCTTTGTGTTCCCTTCTCTTCTTTTTTTTTCAGGCCTGAGGGCCTTCTTGAGTATTTCTTGTAGTGAGGGTCTCATGGCCATGGACTCCCGTAGCTTTTGTTTATTTGGGAAAGTTACTATTTCTCCATCATATTTGAAGGATATTTTTGCTGGATAGAGTATTCTTGGCTGAAAGTTTTTGTCTTTCAGTATTTTGAATATATCATTCCACTCTCTCCTAGCCTGTAAGGTTTCTGTTGAGAAATCTGCTGAGAGCCTGATGGGAGTTCCTTTGTACATTATTTTTTGTTTTTGTCTAGCTGCCCTTAATATTGTTTCTTTGTCATTGACTTTGGCCAGCCTTACCACTAGATGTCGTGGAGTGGGCCTTTGCCTGTTGACATATTCAGGTGACCTATTGGCTTCACTTACTGGTATTTCCTGCTCCTTCCCCAGATTTGGGAAGTTCTCAGCTATTATTTCCTTGAATAGGCTCTCTGTTCCTCTTTCTCTCCCTTCTCCCTCAGGAATACCTATAATTCTTATGTTACATTTCCTAATAGAGTCAGATATTTCTTGGACACTTTCTTCATTTCTTTTTAGTCTTAGTTCTCTCTCCTCTTCCATCTGGAGCATATCTGTATTCCTATCCTGTATAATGCTAATTCTTTCCTCCATATTGTCAGCTCTGTTCTTTAAAGATTCCAGATTCTCCTTTATCTCCTCCATTGTGTTCTTCATCTCCATCAGCACTGATTGGTTTTTCTTTATGATTTCAATCTCTTTTCTGAAGAAACTCCTAATCTCATTGAATTGTTTGTGTTGTCTCGTATTTCGTTGAGTTTTTATGATAGCTATTTTGAAATCTCTGTCATTTAGGTAATGCGTTTCTGTGTCTTCAGGGTTGGTTTCTGGGTGCATGTCATTTTCCTTCTGGTCTGGTGATTTTATATACCTTTGCCTTGTGGTTCCTGTATTGGCTTTGTTTTTCCTCATCCCTGAAATATCTGGTTGCAATTTCCACCCACCACCACTGTGTGGGGTAAAGGGCTGTGTAATCTGAGCACCCTGTGCTCTGCCCCGGCTGTTCGCGGGGATCTGCCCGTCGCTTGGTCTGGTCTGGTCAGCTGAGCTGTAGAGTCTGGCTTGCGGCGGGGGGGGGCTCTCTCTTTTGCCGTCTTGGTCCCTGGCATGGGGGGCTTCTCATTCGCCCCTTGTTATCTGCTCTCTGGGGTGCTCAGATGTTGATGGTACCCCATAGCAGTTCTGAGTCCTCTGTGTGGGAGTTTCCCACTGGCTGAGAGCCCAAAGAGCTATGGTTTCCCCACAGAGGGCCACCCCTCCCCCCTCTCTGGGAACCTTGCCGACCGGGATCGCTGATCTGATGGGGAGGGAGAGGAGTTCTCCTTACCTCTCCCCACTTCCTCCGGGGGCCCAGCACGTTCCTCTCTCAGATGTGTGGCAGTGTGGATCTTTCTGATCTTGTTTTCGCTGTCTAGGATTCCGTCGTTGGTCTGTGACTGTTCCTTTTGTTGTATCTTACCGGGGGAAGAGTTTACGGGAAAGCTCACTCTGCCATGATGCTGATGTCACCCCTCTCTTCTCCCATTTTAACATTTCAAAACAAGTTCACCATACTAATGAGGCCATCTTGTCAAGTTCATGTCTGTTTAGCCAAAAGTCATTCATGTATATGGTAAGATTTACTTGATTTTTTAACAAAGATAAAATGATGAATGGCTTTTTGTATTTTTGCCTTTCATCTATAAGGATCTTACATTATAATTTAATAGCTTCAGCCTGCTATAATAATTTAAAGAGCCTTTTGAAACTTGTATATGCCATGTCCAACAGGATCTCTGCGCCATCTCCTGCCCAGTGCTCCTCCACACTGCCTAAGAAACTTTTAAATGTTAATTGTTTTTCTGAAGAAAAACTTAGAAAAGCAATCTAGAGCCATAATTGCCCTTGTAAAAAAAGAGAGGAAAGAATAAATAATACTGTATCATTTCAGGACTAATTTAATTTTGTCCACAAATTTAAAAATTGAACTATAGCAAAAATATTTTTGTAACAATGTGTAGCTTAGTTACATTAAAATATTCCTTTTATAGATATTCTTTAGATTATTTAATTTTCTTTCCATGTAAACTCTTTCCTAGTGTGGTAAACCTTTTCTATATGTCAAATTACCATTTACTTTCAAAAAAAATTGTGAAAGGGAAGGTAAGAAAAAGAATACATGTATAAGAATACATTTAACACTATAAAAATTTATATTAGCAAAGGAGAAATCATGCAATCTAAGTTCAATAGATTTTCTATTGAGTGACTATTCTCATATTAAAATATGTTTTATTTTAGAAACCATGTTAAATTTATAATTCTAATAAAAACTAAAATATTCCTTGATTATAAATTATTTCAGTGGCTGTTCTGACTTTAACAATGTCTCTCAGTCAGAAGAGACAGTGATTTTTTTTCCTCATAATTTCTCTCATCCTTAACACAGACTCAAATGTGAGATTTCTAGAAGTATTACCAGGAGAAACATCTGACTCTCATGTGTTGTATCCATGAAGTATCTCCAAGATTCCAGATTACATGGGATAAGAAAATCTCATCAATATACTTTCTAAAAGGTGTACTTCCACATAAACATTTGCTTGATTAAAATCAAGAAAAATCTTTCAAAATTTTTCCTTCATCCCCACCTTCCTCCCGATAAGATGTAAAGAAGAAACATTCACAATTTAGTTCTTACTATATGATTTTTCAAATTTTAAAAATAAAATTTCACAGGCCAGCCTGGTAGTGTAGTGGTTAGGTTCATGCACTCACTTCGGCAGCCCAGGGTTTGCAGGTTCGAGTCCTGGGAGCAGACCGACGCACTGCTCATCAAGCTATGCTGTGGTGGTGACCCACATACAAAATAGAAGAAGACTGGCACAGATGTTAGCTCAGGGCCAGTCTTCCTCACCAAACAAACAAACAAATAAATAAAATTTCAAGGCATAGCAGTGAACTAACATTTAAAAATGCACATACAGACAGTCCCTGTGTAAGTATGTTCTGAACATTGGAAATGATGACCTGGAACAACTCTGGTCCGGTGAACCTGTGGCTGTACCAGCCTCTCTTCCCTCTTGCAAACCCTTGAGAGTTTCCTCTCCTTTCCACTTGAAGGAGAGACTTGCAGCACTCATGCAGCATCCTAAAGGTGGTGGCTCCTGGTATCAATGGAGTACAGAGAGTGTACAGGCTCCCTCTGTACCTTTGCTAGAGGAGCTGGGAATAGAAAGCCCTGTCCCCAGGCTTTAATTGTCTTCCTGGATCCAGCATGTTATAGTTTCTGCTGCTTCAAGTTGGAGTTTAAATTCCCATTTCCCAACGTTTGGGAGAAGAAAAGTGGTAACTGGCTATTTACCTTAGATTCTTAATAGATTTTCCCGGCGGCACGTAGTAATTAAGCTCCACTTTACAAGTGTATGTTTACATATGTTTGTATATCCCACTTTACAGTTCCGTGGGATGTTGGACATGTAACATGTAACAAATCGATATGTAACAGGAACAAGTATTTCGAGTTCCAAAGAATAAACTTGCTAGAAAATTTTGGAACAAGATTCATTAAAAATTGAGGCCATGCCGAATTCTTCTTATTTCTGCCAAATTTGTGAAGTTCTTTTGGAGTTTGTCATTGGTAGAAAAAAAGGCATACTTACATTAAAAGACTTTTAGTTGCAGTTTTATCTTGGTCTTTTAGTTTACTGTCAGAATGACATGATAACTATTAATAGTTAATTGCTTTATACATTTCTAGCATAGTGTCTTGTATATGATAAATAATCAGAAAAGATATGTTTCGCATTGAATTGAAGTTGAAAATGAGACTTTTGAACATCTTTGTATTTAGTTGCTGAATTCAGGAACTATGGCTGAAAAAAATCTAGGTTTGTAGAAAATAGTACAGTACGAACAACACAGAGAACATTCAGTCACAGAAGTGATTCCAATTTTGTAGTTTTTGCTTGCCTGTATATTTTTGTATTAATATTTGGAAAAACCACAGCCACTTGATTCTACATTATGGTTTGTTTATTAATAACATGAATTTTACTCAGTAGCTATTGCTTTTTTATGCTGTACTCCTAGGGACATGTGGAAACTATCTTTGACTGCAAATTCAAACCTGATGATCCCAATCTTTTAGCAACAGCTTCATTCGATGGCACTATAAAAGTCTGGGATATAAACACATTAACAGCAGTGTACACTTCCCCGGGTAATGAAGGGGTTATTTATTCCCTTTCATGGGCTCCAGGTAAGAAGTGTTTTATTAAAATTGGGAATACAATTAAATTAATTTCATAACTTTTATTTTCATTTGCATTATCTTCTTCCTCTCAATGCCATCTTGCTCCAAATGACTGTAGAGGCAAATGAGTACCAACATATTTGTTGGTTCATTTTTTGTGGGGACAGGCACTTTGATTTCCAGGCCCTACTACATGACACTGTCATGTAGAAAAGCCATAGTAAATCGGGATGGTCTTGACCCATCTAATTTTAGCTGCATTTGTATAGATATGCCTTTAAAGGTAGAACACATTTTACATGAAGAAATTTCCCTTAAAATTTTCCTGTGAATCAAATAGATAAATATGAAAATAAAAAATTTATTTTCTAAAAATTATAATACATCTTTCCCCAATACATCTGTTTTGTAAATATGAATGATTATATATCATCACAGTTCAATTGTGACCCCGTAATTCTATGTAAATTCCACCTTTGTAATATTGAAGAACTTTTATGTCATAATACAGTCTTTGATCTCAGAAAGATGCTACCTTTGTACTTTCTTGTACATAAAGGAAAGAAGAGATGTCCTATGAAATCTCTGACATTTTCTCCCAAAACATTATTTCTCTATAACAAATAATTTTACACACCTAAATGAATTTTTCACTTTATAAAGTATGTAGAATGCTTTAGTTATTTGTCTTAATAAGTAACATATTAATTTAAAACCCACATATAATCAGGATATAGCTTATTTTTTAGCTTATCTCCTCATGCACAGGGATTTTTAGCCTTGGACTTATGGGCTCTCAAGGGTTTTAGATGTCTTCAGAGAATCTGGGAATCTCTTAGAATTCTATGCATTATTTTTAGCATATGTGTGTATATGCCTATATCTGTCAAAGATTATTATAGTAATCAGATTTTCAGGGAGGTCCATAATACAGAAAAGGTTAAGGACCAACCACTGTTTTATGCATCCTTCATCTCTCACAATGAGGAGAAGATCTAGAAAAAAGTTTCATTTCCAACTCTCAATGACAGTAGTTGTTCTTTTATGCAGAACATACTTATTGCCATTATAGATACAAGACTAATTGAAAAAAAAGTCACTTCACTGATTAAGAAGTGAGGTCCCAAAAGAACTAATTAGTTCTCTTACCTGCTCCCTTCTTCACATCTGTCTTTATTTTCCTTTTTGATTGTGACAGCCAAGATTTATTAAAGAAGAGTCTCGGGTCAGAGAGGTTAAGAAGTGTACCCAAGATTACAAATGCAGCATTCGTGGTGGAACCAAGATTTGAAAAATTGTCAGTTTGACTTTTAAGCCTGTGCTCTCCATCACTGCAATGTGCGTCTTCACAGCAGGTGCCCTGGCTAGTGATACAGGAGTTGACCAGCCAGTGCAGTGACAGCAGTGTAGCAGCTGTTAGTTGAATATTCTTCCTCCTATAAGATGCATATAAGTCTCAAACCTAAAACTTAAATAGAAATTGTGACTGTAAAAACGATTGTTGCAAATCATAACAGAGAAGGCCTAATATTACTTAAAGCATTATTTCATTCTCTACATTGAGAATTTGCCTCAAGAAAGTAAAAATGTTGGAAATTGGAAATTCTGTAATTTTTGTTTTGAAACGTGACTACTGCTGAATCACTATCTTTAGGTAACTATGGGTGAAATTTAAAAGATTAACAAAGGTTAACATAGACGGAATTAGAGTAGGATACAGATTTTGCCTAATTTCCTCTATTTTTAGAGTAGCTACCACAGGAAAAGGAAAAAAAATAACGTGCAAACAAATATGGAAACTTCTCCCTAATAATTTAAGAACCCCAAATGGGAAGAAGAATGAAATATGGTGAGGACTTATTTTTTTTAGTGTTTATAATCATTTACCACCAAGTAATTCCTCCATATTTCTACTCCTGGGTAGCAAATGACAACTGTTCTTCCTTCTAATGGAGTAAACCTCTTCTTCGACTGCCTTACAAAAAATGCTTAAGTCCTTGACTGCCTACTAACCTAGCAGCAGCTTGATTTTCACAGATGTTTTAATTTCTTTAAAACAAAGAGCATTGTTTGTGTTTTTGATAGAGAAACTGAATTTTTTCATGTGTTCTGCTTACAGAAATACATTTCTAAACCTTAAAAAAATTACTAGATGATCAGAGAAATGTAATTACTGACTAGATATGTGATAATATTGAGGAACTATTGATAATTTTTGTATTTGAGATTGTGAAGGTTCGATCATGTTAATAAAAGAATCCCTGTCTTGTAGACCTCCATACTGAAGTATTTATTGATAAAATGATATAAAGTCAGAGACTTGCTCAAAAAAATCCGGTAGGCGCTATAAACAAAACAAGATTGACCATATTTTGATAATTGTTGAGGCTGTGTAATGGGTACATTCATTATACTATCGTCTCTATGCTGGCGTACATTTGATAATTTCCATTTTAAAAAATTTAAAAAGAACTACTTTGCAAATCTCAAGTCTTACTTTTTCAAAACTTACGTTTTTGAAAAGAATTACATTTGTGGCCAACATTTCATATGTCTAATTGTTTCCTAAGGTGATTTAAATTGTATTGCCGGAGGAACTTCCCGAAATGGTGCTTTTATTTGGGATCTTAAAAAGGGCAAAATGGTACAACGGTTTAATGAGGTAAGATGTATTTACTGCCAGCTGAATAACCTAATGTCTTCTACGGCTGCATATATTTTAAATGCTCTTCTGTCTTAATGTAATAGTTAATCACCAGGTGGCATTATGTTCTCTCAATTAGAAGAAAATCAAAAAGGACGTTCGCTGCTAAAATGAATTCTGGAAAATGTAGATTAGTCTAAGATATAAAAATTCACCTAAAGTTACATTAGAGATTCAAAGGAATTTTGAGTCATTCTCCATAAAGTTATCCAGGCAAATATTCAATGGTTGGAAGAAGACTAAACTCAGAGCAAGTCCTAAATTACAGTCCCAATTCTGTTACTTGTTAGCTCTTGGCATAGGGAGAATCATTTTATTGCTTTGAACCTGATTCTGCACCTCTAAGATGGTGAAATTGGATTATATAATTTCTTATATTTCCTTCCAGTTCTCAAATTCTATTATTTCATGACAAGCCCTAGAACCTCCCTCTTCCTATTTGTAGTGTCACAGATTGTTCTTTTACTTCTGCGTAGAGTTAAATTGTCATCCCATATTTTACTGAGTTCCATTAATATTTGGAAAATACATATGATCTCATTATAGTATGTTAGATACGAATTGAGGGAAATAGGACAGGATCTAGGATTGCCTGTCACTATCTGGAAATTTTATTCATTTCAAGTGATTACTGTTGAAGTTTATGAAATATATGACTGATTTGAAAATTGTTTATATATTTGAGCCTTTAAAACCATTTACACAAAAGACTGTTATCCCTCTGAGGATCAAGTAGCCTTGATCTTCTGGGAGATACTGAAGTAATGTGGCAAATGCAGACTATTACAGAAACTTAACCAACCACCAGTAAGCAATTTAGCTCTTCAGAAAAGGAAACTTTTCTGAAGGTTTTTTTGACCAAAGATTGTCTAGTTACATCCTCCCCTCTCTACGTAACGACAATACTCCTTCAGTTCAGCAATGTCCTCAGCCTGCCCTCTGCCCTCCGCATCACCAGGACAACACTTATCCCCTAAGAAATAGTGCTATGTAGATAATAACAACAATAAACAAACACATAGGGACAGAGATTGGATTGGTGGTTACCAGAGGGGAAGAGGGGAGGGAGGAGGGCGAAAGGGATAATTCGGTACATGTGTGTGGTGATGGGTTGTAATTAGTATTTTGGTGGTGAACATGATGTAATCTATGCAGAAATAGAAGTACAATGATGTACACCTGAAATTTATACAATGTTATAAACCAATGTTACTGCAATAAACAAAAAATTAAAATAATAATAATAATAATAAATAAATAAATAAAAACTGAAAAAAAAAAAAAAAAAGAAGAAAACCCAAGAAGATCCCGAAAAACAGACTTTTGACTTAAATTCAAAAATTTTATCCTTGGGTGTCATGGCATCCTGGCATCTTGTGATCTGAAATATCTGCCCATTAGCGCTAGAACAGTCCCCGCCTGATTCCAGCAACGCAGGGTCTTAGCCTCAAAGACGCCTCTTATAGCCATTCATGTCTTTCCCAGCATTCAATGGCATAGTTAAGAACAATATCAAAAATGCTTAAACCTAGGGTAATAAATATGTGAAAAAATAACAATGGCAGCTTTAATTAACTAAATTACATATGCCTCACAAAAGGAGGTGCAGGATAGTAGAGAGCCATAAGTGCACTGTTCATGGGGATAAGGCTGACAGAAGGCCGCCACTCTTTCAATTGAATGAGTAGAGACTATTTCCATTTTTGTGTGCATTTTTATAAACCTTCCTAGTTTGACCCCCAAAGAAGTAAAAACAGCAACTAGAGACCGCCTTAGTAAGCCAGCCTTAAAACTCAGGATAAAAAGTCACTTTAGTCTCCCCTTAACAGCAGCCACAATTTAAGTACTATATAAGATTGAAGTGTTTTAAATAAAATTTGGAAATAGATTCATTGCAACATTTATTCACCCATCACCCAGCTGATGAATGACATTGCAACTATGGTATATTCTTTCTGTTTTTAAAAATTCTCATCATAGCAGCTGTGACTATATCCCTTTACCCTTCCCTAGTCCAGGAAAGCAGAGGAACCCGTAAATATAGTGATGTGTTGTAGGAGTAATCATGAATCTGTTCTCCTTTGTTTTAATAAAATAAAACTTTGAAATTGAGAACAACCAGTCGTAATAATTGTTTGCACTATTTATAACACTGTGCTTGTAGTAGCACTGGGTTAGAAAGCAGATAGATAACTGTCTTTATCTCCAGATTGGCATTTACAGGAAAAGGCATTAAGCAGAGCTTAATTCTACAGAGGGTTGAAGAGGCAGATCCTGGCTCTTTATTAGTGTTTATTAGTGTCTATAAAAAGAACGAGAGCCACCCAATTTATGTCTTAAAACAGTGGTTTTGTTTCTTAAAGTACGTACAGCCGTGCACCGCATAACAATGTTTCGGTGGATGACGGACTGCATATAGGACGGTGGTCCCATGAGATTAGTACCATGTAGCCTAGGTGTGTAGTAGGCTCTGCCACCTAGGTTTGTGTAAGTGCACTCTAGAATGTTTGCACAACAGTGAGCATGCCTAACAAAGCATTTCTCAGAACGTGTCCCCGTGGTTAAGCCATGCGTGACTGTATCCAGATTTCTGCTACTGACGGTAATGTCTCTGTTAGCATCATCTAGAGAAAGTTCCTAATAGAAAAGTAATACTTAGAAGAAGTAAATAAATAAGAGAAAAAAGGGGTGAATTATTTCTTATTGATAGGTATTTTGCATTTTTTGAAGCACGGAAAAAATGGAATATTCTGCATTGCCTGGAGTTATAAAGATTCCAAAAGAATAGCAACCTGCAGTGGTGATGGTTTCTGGTAAGTACTATGTATAAAATTACATTGTTTGTAAAAGAGACATTTTATAATACCAGTTGTATCATGTTTGCAGATAGTATATTAAAATATTTGATAATATTCCATTAATACACCTCTACCAACTATCGTTTTATTTATAAACCTATATTATTGCTATATCAGTAATAAGTAACAGTGCAATGATGTTTAAAAATAAATGAATAGGGCCGGCCCCGTGGCTTAGTGGTTAGGTGCGTGCGCTCTGCTGCCGGCGGCCCGGGTTCGGATCCCCGGTGCGCACCGAGGCACCGCTCCTCCAGCCATGCTGAGGCCGCGTCCCACATACAGCAACTAGAAGGATGTGCAGCTATGACAGACAACTATGTACTGGGGCTTTGGGGGAAAAATAAATAAATAAAATCTTTAAAATCTTTAAAAAAAAAAAATAAAATAAATAAATGAATAAATAAACAAACCGGTAATTGCTTTCTAAATGAAAATACTACCTGAATTATAACTAAAAGACTGTGAATTGCCTCAAAGAAACATCAAGGACTTTTCACAAAAAGTCTCTATAATTCTCATCACATTTTGGAGGGAGTGGTATTTCAGTTGTACAAGTGATTCAAGAGATATCACGGGCTCTAGGACCTTGTTCACAGTTTTGTAGATGATATTATTTACAGAAGGATAAAGAGCCTTTGCTAGAAGGAATACGGTAATGCATGTGGGACATGCCTTTTTTCAGAAACTGACTAACTTTTCTGACCCTGTGTTTCAGAAATATGTGCTTTCTTAATTCTGTTAAGTCCCAGGAAAAAGTAGGTTTCTGAAAAATATTTGTAAGAGAAGAATTGACTTTACGTTAAAAAGTGTTTTCAATCAGGGGCCGACCCCAGTGGCACAGCGGTTAAGTGCGCACGCTCCACTGCAACGGCCCGGGGTTCGCAGGTTCTGATCCCGGGTGCGCACCGATGCACTGCTTGTTGAACCGTGCTTGGCGGCGTCCCATATAAAGTAGAGGAAGACGGGCATAGATGTTAGCTCAGGGCCAATCTTCCTCAGCAAAAAGAGGAGGATTGGCATTGGATGTTAGCTCAGGGCCGATCTTTCTCACACACACACAAAAAAATGTTTTCAATCAGACGATGCTGCCCTGTAGCTATAGGTATTGTCGGCTTTGACAGGTGGTGTAGACACTCATGGTTGTTGAGAATATAGTCAAGTTTGTCTCCTATTAGATTTTGCTATACCCAGCCCAATTTTCTCATCCTCACTTTTTAATTTCAATGGAAAAGACAGTAGTTATGTAAACCAAAGATCTTTACCAGGAAGTTAAAATTTTCAAAAATAACAATATTAGTCATTTTTTCCCTTGAAGAGAACTATTTGCTAGTTGATACATACCAAAAATACAGGAATGTGCCCAAGAGTTTTTTGATGCAGTGATACATAATTAGCTTTACCATATACTTCAGGGCACTACTTAGATAAATACCACGGTCAATGACTGAACATTCATAAGCACATGTCACCACCACTCGCCAGTAACCTCAGAAGTTTTGGTGGGCCTAATGATGTTTTAGAAGGTCTTTCCCAAAGACTTTTAAAACCCTATAATACATTAATTTATGCACAGCTTTTTTTTTTTCCTAATGGAATCAATAGCCTTTCCATTATGGTAACAATATAGTAGGGATTAGAGCTTCTTTTATTTTTGCAGTTAAAGTATATAGGACCCTTTTGGGGAGAAGGGGTCCTTTGAATTCTTAGTTATATCATTCACAATATGCCACAAAAATGTTATAACTTACATGTCTTGGACTTGCTGTAATAGTACATGCAACCAGCATTATCAGTGAGGTGTTTTAAATATAAATTTTGAACTGCTAAATTTTGAAGCTGAAAATCTAATGCCATGTTAGTTATATCATTATGTTTTAAAGTATATATATTAAACAGTGTTTTTCTCAGTTAAAAAAATGTTCTATAAGAAATAGTTTCTAAATCAAAGTTTATCACCTTTCAATTGATTTAAATGGATTACCATAATTAATACTATGTGATGTAAATAGACTTACTCATAATTGGTACTTTCTTTTACACAGTACTTTTAAATGTTCCTTGTGCTTTGCAGACAAGGTCTCTGTCCTAAAATACTTATATTTGAATTCTACAATTCTGGCTTTATTCCCTTGAATAATGTATTTAGAATGTTGGTTTTTTCTATTAACGTATTATACTTAATTTCAGTATTATTCGAACGATTGATGGTAAAGTGCTCCACAAATACAAACACCCAGCTGCCGTGTTTGGTTGTGATTGGAGCCAAAACAACAAGTAAGTAATTTTTTCCTGAAATAACTAATAATTTCATTTCAGAGATTTTAAGTAACCATACAGTTTAATGTTATTCCCGTAGGTAATACTCATCACTCTTTTTAGGTAATATTCCCCTTGCCTAGCCTTGTGATTTCTTGTTTATTTTAGCTTATTTTATTCCATGAAGTTTTTACATAACTTAGAAATATTGATTTCCTGCTTTCAAAACAACTTTCTGATGCTTTAGTATCAGAACTATGATACTGGAAAATGGAAACATGAAAAATGGAAATCAGCCCAATCTATGTGTGGCTTCCACCATAGAAATGGGGCCCTTCCTCTAAATCCTTTAGGAATCTCTGCAATGGTATTGTTCCGCCATGACCTTCTATTGCCCCTCACCTAATGCTGATGCCTCCGCACTGGATGATGTTCCCAAGATGTGGAACTTAGGTGGATGGTTCTGAAAGGTCAACCTTGCTTAAGAGCCTAGTATTTACCATGTAAAAATCAGCTTAGATTTAAAAATTAGTCCAAGTCAAACCTCCACTGAAATTGGTCCTTCAAGTCACTGTACGTCCAAGAATCCTCAAATCTGTTTCAAACCTCTCTGTGATGAGATATAAATTATATTTAAAAATTCAAACTTTCCTTAGATATTGTGAAAACGATGTGAATTATCTTATGTTTTTCCATATTACGGATGGAAAATATACATATTAAAATATTAAAACTTTAGTATACTTGTGTTCTGAGTCAAATCACATATTATACAAAATGATGGATCTATATGTATTTCTTCCAGTAAACATAGAAGAATTTATAACAACACTGTTAGAGGCTATATGCAAAATGGGCTCCTCCCCAGTATTTCCCATCTCAGTGGCCTGATAATGCTAACAACAAATCCTTGGCCTCTTCTTTTATACTTTATCATCTCTCAATTTCCATTTCCAGTCAGCCATCAATTTCTATCATATCCTCCATCTAAATATTCTTCTTTTTCTAACCATGCCACTTGCCACTAAACCAATATTTGCTTGCTTTTGAGCTTCCATGAAAGTCTTCTAAATCAGTTCCAGAATTCACACCCTTTATCATCACTTCCTCTCTCCCACCTCCCCTTCTCTATGTTGCAGTCAGAGTGAGCATTAAATACACAGATCTGAGCATACCATTCTATTGCTTAAATCTTTCCGTAGTTTCCCATTGATCATACAATAAAGTGCAAAATCTCAGCAGGCCCTACAAGGAAGTCCCTCTATAATTGGGCTCCTGTGCACTTTAGCAATATCATTCCAAGCCTTGCTTCCCCCTTGTTCTTTGTCTCTAGGCACACTGGTTTTCAGTTTCTTGGACTAGCCAGCTCTTTTTCACCCCAAGGCTTTCACTCATGTTGTCATGTTTATCTAGGATTCCACGCCCAGCTCCACACCACACCACCCACCAGGGTTGAATATAGATAACTTCTCCCCATCCTTTAGCTCTCAGCTCAAAACCCACTTCCACACAAAAGTCTTCCCTGACCCACAGATTAGGTAAATTTTCCCTACAATGTACCTTGGGAGCACTTAACACAATAAAATTAAATTTTAGTTGCGAAATTGGCTGTCTCACCCTCTAAAATGTAAGCTCCATGAGATCAACAACTGTGTTACCTAATTTTAGCAGTATATTCTTAGCAAAACACTGTGCTCCTAACCCTCACTGTGCCTTGAAAAAAAATTTTAATAAATATTTTAGTAAATATTTGTTCGGCATACAAATGGATGGAATTTTCTTGCATCTGGCCAACAGAACAGTTTCACATTCTATTTCTCTGTTTTATAGGGTTAATAAGCATTTGGCCAGTTGAAATAAAAATTAAACATTATTGCAGTATGCTTTGTTCGTTAAGAAGGCCTTTTTTAAAAAAGTCATTTATACCTAACTATTATACTTACAACCAAGCTTACCTAGTAAATTTCATTTTTATTTTAAAAAGTCTTTTCAAATTTTTCTAATTGCTGTATTCATATTCCACTTAGCATCTTAGGTGATAAGTGAAAAACATCTTGAGCTTATAAAAATTTATTCATAAGATATCTCTGAATTTATGATTTAGATGTCTGTATGTACATTCTTTGAATTTTTATTATTTCACTTCTGATTTTATATTTATGTATCTGCATATACATATATAAAAATACATATAAAATATATATATAAATAAATACATATATAATATGTATAATACAAATGCATAATACAAATACATACATAAGAAATAGAATCATGTATCTGTGTAAATATTGGTATTATGCAAAATATATTTTCCCACATATAGAAACTGGCCCGTTTATCAGTGGGCCTTGGGCAGATATAATCTGTGCATTTACAGATTAGCATGCCAATTTGCAAACTGGTGTATTTCTGTATATGGGCTTGAATAAATGTAAGTATTATAACCCATGTGACAAAAATCAACCATTTGAAGTTTAGGGAAGGTTTTGATGACAGTTGGATCCAAAATGTGTAACTTCCCCTCTTTACCTTTCAAATGTGGGGACTGTTTATGTGATTGTTAATATTCCCCAGGGAGACTGTGTTCTGGCGGACACTTGATTTCCCCAGGTCTGCCTGGTATTCATAATTCCTTTTGGAACAGTATTCCAAGGGTGACCACTAGGGTACAAATTGTCGCTTAGCTTATTCTTACTCTTTTGAGGATTAGGAGCCAAGATCATTGAAAGATCATATCCACATATATTTCCAGAGGATCCTTAGTTGGATCATACAAGGTGATCCCCAACCTTGTATGGTGACCTCAAAGTGGGGAAGCCACCAAAGAGAATTGGAAAACCATTGGTGACTTGCTGTCAGGTGAGACAACCCAGGTCTGAGGGGAGCTTTTCCAGCATCCTTCCAGGGGAAACATTGCCATTTGTACCCATGCCACAAGAAATTTGCCAGTAGTCAGGGCGTGTAGTAATTAATAATGTGCTTACCAGCAAATAAGCAAATCTCAACCACTCACCAACGGGGACCCTTCTTAAGACCCAATAGTTACAAAATATAAAGTTCTGAGAAATATTCAAGAAATTATAAATCTGGACATTTTGAAAAAGAACCTAGAGAAATATAAATACTGTTATCTGTGATCTAAGATAAATAAAATTAAAATTCAACTGTTTAAAAGGGAACATTGAGAGAGAAACTCTTTTTGTACTAGGGCAGTTTCTGCAAATGATGTTTTAGGTAAGTTTTTAGTCTAACTTCCTTAAGGAAGCAACAAATTCTAGTTTTAGAAGTTAGAACTGTGTACATTTAAAAATTATCAGTAACAAAGAATATCAAATTTTTAAATATTTTAATGTGCCATTGGTGATATTTCAGAGACATGATAGCCACTGGCTGTGAAGACAAAAATGTTCGTGTCTATTATGTAGCCACCAGCTCTGATCAACCATTGAAAGTGTTCAGTGGGCATATGGCAAAAGTGTTCCATGTTAGATGGTCTCCTCTGAGGGAGGGAATTCTCTGCAGTGGTTCTGATGATGGGTATGTATTTTTGGATTCTAATTTTCTAGTCCTTAAAATTATAAGCTTATAATTTTCTAGAAATGTACTTATTTATATTATCCAACTTATACGTGGAAATATTTAAAATATGTACTTAACAAGTAGACAGTTAATGAGAACCTAATGGCATTCAACCAAAAATAAATTTTTCCATGCTTATGTTATCATCATATTCATGATTTCTATTTCCTTACTTATTCTGCTGACTATGAATGGTTGTATCTAGCTTATTAAAAAACTTATCAGCAACAAAGTTAACAGAAACAAAAATTTTAAAAGGATCTGTTGGGAAAGGGGAAAAGATCTGAAACAAATCTCTGTAAAATATGGAAAAGAGTTTAATTTAAAAAATGTTCTTGTGTTTAATGTGGAAAACAGCTGTACTCTGTTTTCACTAAGAATGGAATAAAAGAAAATGAGGATATATTTTAGCATGAAGAGAAGATACTTTAGAAATTAGTGATTTAACATTTTTTTCTGGGTTTGTGAAAATTTCTGAAATCTTTTCAATATATTATATTCAAACAAGATAGATTTGCAAGTACAGTTTGGTCACTGTTTGAATATGAGATAATATTAGGTAAGAAAAATCTTACTTTATACAGGTAAAAGTCATAGTATATAGTAACCATAGGTTTAATATTGAATAAGCATTTTCATCTTGAAATTTTGGCATAAATCCAAATTTAGTAAGGAAAACAGTTGTGAGATTTTTGTGAGTCATTACTTGAAATATTACTTATTATAAGGTTATCAGGTGAAAGTGAGTATGAATTCATTTATGAGATTGTTCCAATCTCTTAACACAGACTTTGGCATCTAAATTCTATCTTCAAGAAAAAAAGTATAATCTGCAATCATCGTCTAAGAAATATTTGTTAGAAAGATAGCAGTAAGCATTTTACTGACTTATGGTAATGAAAGTTTAAAGGTTTTACTAAGTTCTAGTAATTGGTCCCTTTAGTAGCCATATAGATGAGTAGTGTTAACTGATGTTATCTAGCACCTTTAAAAAAAGTCAGAATTGTAAGGAAACCATTAATTGCCAGTGTGCTCATTAGAGAACTCACAGATACTATGCTTCAGCCTGGAAGCCTCAGGCTCTCCTTATGTACAGTGGGGCCTATAAAAACTTTTCTTATGTTTGACTAAAAAGTATACATTAGGCCTTCAAAGCTTGATGTTTGTCTAATCTAACTTATGTCATAAAAGCAAGGATGCCTGTTCTAGTGCCTCCTACGATGACATTAAAGTATTTTGATACAAATCACTTAATATAGTCTTATTTATGAAAGTCTGATATCAACCAAAATAATTTAAATAGTAACATATACAAGAAATTAGTAACAAAAAATTAGATTATGGTATGCCTGGATACATTGTACTGTCCTAGTGTAAGGGGAGGAAGAAGAAAAAAGTCTTTTTATATAAAGCAGAAAGAGATGTGCCTTAAAGAAATAAAAATATATCTTGTGTCTCCTTTATGGTTTAATATAACCTTTGAAGTAAAGTCCTGCGCCAAATAACAACGCTTCAGTCAACAACAGATTGCATATATGATGGTGGTCCCATAAGATTAGTACCATATAGCCTAGGTGTGTAGTAAGCTATACGATCTATAGTATGGGTTTGTGTAGTAGGTTTGTGTAAATACACTCTATAATGTTTGCACAAAGACAAAATTGCCTAACGATGCATTTCTTGGAACGTACCCCTGTTGTTAAGCGAGGCATGACTGAGTTAATATTTTGGTATTATCAGGTTGATATAAACCTGTGACTAAAAGATTATTATGAATTGTCCAAGTAAAATTGGCATTTGAAGGTCTTAAATTGATTTTGAGTTCAAATTTTTTTTCAATAACATTTGTACTTTGTACAATCAGTAGATGCAAGTAATATCATGAATCCAGTTATATTTAAATTTTGTACTTGATCAGCAAGTGATTCCACATTGACTAAGCAACTTAATTTACTGACAAATCATGAAGGAATGATTTACTGTATTGACAAAAGCATAGATATGAATTGATTTTTCAAATAATACACATCATCATACATGCTATATTATCATGATTTACAAATAATTTGTGTGCTCTTAAATTATTGTATCCCTGTTATTAGTCATTTTTTCCTTTGGTTTTATCTGTTCTGGATATTTCATTTTAAGAAAGCAATTTTTTAAACCCACAAACTGTGAAATAGTGTATTTAGTATCAGTAGTAAATGATCAGAAAAAGCAAGAGAAAAAATTTTGGAATAGGTTAGCTCTAGCCTAATTATTTGTTTCCATCTGCTCTAAAGAAGAGAATCTTAACGTATCTTGAAACATAAAAGCTTTTTCTATATACTAAGAAATAATCGTTGTGCTCAATGAAGAATATGTTAATATCTAGATAAATTATAACTTGAATGGTATTATATAATAAAATTCTGTTTTCAGTTCTGTGCGAATCTGGGACTATACTCAAGACGCTTGCATAAACGTTCTTAATGGCCACACTGCACCGGTGAGGGGCTTGGTGTGGAATACGGAGATCCCCTATCTGCTGATATCTGGCAGCTGGGACTATACCATCAAAGTATGGGACACTCGAGAAGGAACTTGTTTGAATACTGTGTACGACCACGGTGCAGATGTATATGGTAAAGTGTTTTTCATGTACTTTTAAATTTTACTCTATTGATGATGATGAAAATTGCTGAGCGAAACAATATTTTTTGAAGGTCATTTAAAATAAAATAAGTTTATTTAATAAAAAAGTCAATAGAAAGTTTCATTTTAAAATAACATTTTTCTCATTAAAAACTATACATGTTTATTACCGAAATATCAGAATACACAGAACATAATAGAAAATGTTATCAAAAATTACCAGAACATGATTGTTAGCATTGTGGTGTCTTTCTCTTTATCTCAGCAGGTGTATTTGTGTATGTGTCTATATATATTTACAGAATATGCTAAATAATTTATTACATTCTTGTATTATGTTCAGCCAAGATAGAAACGTTATTTAAAACATTTCTTCATAACTTCGTTTCTGTAGAAGTTTTATAAGGTACATATAAATACAAAATATTTTTCAGTGTTTACTTTAGTTAAAATAGGTTTATTTTTTCCATCAGGTTTAACCTGCCACCCAAGCCGCCCCTTCACCATGGCCTCTTGCTCCCGGGACTCTACAGTGAGACTCTGGTCATTAACACCTCTAATCACGCCTTTACAAATAAATATTCTGGCAGACAGATCTTGGGAAGAAATTATCGGGAACACTGGTATTGAAAATATACATGAATTAGATTTTATTTTTAAATTATATTTTCTAAGCAGTCTTTTCTCACTGAATTATGTCTGTTCTCCAGATTATGCTGTAGAGCAAGGCGCTCCTCCTCTTTTGTGTGGTAAAGTGTCAAGAGATATTAAACAGGAAATAGAGAAACTAACTGGTAATCCTCGAGTGGAAAAGCTAAGATGGTTTTCAGAGTGTTTATCAGTAAGTATTATAGGATTGAAATGTGAACATTTTCCCTTTGGCCAAAATGAATCATTACAATGATTGTCATTAAGTTGTCACATTTTTACGCGTATCATCCCAATTCACTGGGTCCCTCTGAGCATAATCTGTATAGTGTAAGGCAGCAAATGGAAACCAGAAACAATAAATGAGATAAAGTTATTATTTTATCTTTCAATTTAGATATGCCTGCATTATATTTTTGAAGCTGCTGTGGGGTTTTTAATTCATTCCTATATCTTTGGTCATTCGACTTCTTAGCCTCCAGGTGGCAGTGACAACTTATGGAATTTAGTTGCTGTGATAAAAGGGCAAGATGATAGCTTACTTCCGCAGAACTACCGTAAAGGAATAATGCATCTGAAACATCTGATTCAATTTAGAACGGTAAGTAAGGTATGCAAATATGATGTACTCAAACAAAAATTATTTTTGCCTTTTCACTATTAAAATATAAAAATTATCTTTAAAAGTGTATATAATTATTTAAAAGGCATAGGGTGGCTGACTGGATAAAAAAACAAGACCCATATATATGCTGCATACAAGAGACACACTTCAGACCTAAAGACACTCACAAACTGAAAGTGAAGGGATGGAAAAAGATACTCCACGCAAATGGCAATGAAAAGAAAGCTGGGGTAGCAGTACTCATATCAGACAAAATAGACTTTCAAACAAAAACTGTAAAACGAGACAAAGAAGGGCATTACATAATAATCAAGGGAACAATCCAACAGGAGGATATAACACTAGTAAATATCTACGCACCCAATGTAGGTGCACCTAAATATATAAAGCAATTATTAACAGACATAAAAACAGAAATAGACAGTAACACAATAATAGTAGG